CTTGGAATCAACCCAAATGTCCATTAGTGACAGACTGGATTAAGAAAATGTGGCATATATACACCATGGAATACTATGCAGCCATAAAAAAGGATGAGTTTGTATCCTTTGTAGGGACACGGATGCAGCTGGAAACCATCATTCTCAGCAAACTATCTGAAGAACAGAAAACCAAACACCGCATGTTCTCACTCATAGGTGGGAACTGAACAATGAGATCTCTTGGACTCTGGAAGGAGAACATCACACACTGGGGCCTATTATGGGGAGGGGGTAGTGGAGAGGGATTGCACTGGGATTTATACCTGATGTAAATGACGAGTTGATGGGTGCTGACGAATTGATGGGTGCAGCATACCAACATGGCACAAGTATACATATGTAACAAACCTGCACGTTGTGCACATGTACCCTATAACTTAAAGTATAAAAAAAAAAGTTACTGTGATCAAGAGATCCAACATACTCCTGAAGAATGGAAAATGCAGGTTTGCCATGAAAGACGGTATTACCTGGTTTAACAAAATTTGAAGAGCAATTCCGAGTTATCCTCACGACAGTGTACAGGCTGGTAATGCTCACGTCCAGCGTGTTTTCTCACTGTGAGCGTCCGATGGACCAGAAGGAAGCAAGTGGAGCCTCAGGGTGCAAGTGGAGGTGGTGCTGGGTAGCGCAGCAGAGCCACAGGAATCGACCATGTCTGGAGAAATTCCTCGTGTCAGTTATGCCAAATGAGGAAGTGTTGAGAACAGCCAAATCAGGGAGATGTAATTCATGAAAAAGCTGTGTAATTTAAATACTCGTAATTTATTTCAGCTAACGAATACAACTGCAGTACTGCACTTGCTACATCTGGGAACTAACTACCCATTGCGGCTGAAACCTCAGGCCTTTTTTAAAGGAGCGGCGCGAGGACTTGTGGGAAATGTAGTCTGCACTTTCTGAGGAAGCGGCGCGAGGGCTTGTGGGAAATGTAGAGTGCACTTTCTAAGGAAGCGGCGCGAGGACTTGTGGGAAATGTAGTGTGCACTTTCTGGTCCCAGTAGCGGGAGCTGCTTCGGGCCTTCTGCGCATGTACGCCGTTTGGCTCCAGGTTTGTTTTTCTCCCCCCGCAGCCTGAGTGGGAGGGCTCCCGGCAGTTCCGCGTCGGGGTAGAGTACGTGGAGGGTGAGTAAGGGAGGGCTGGGGCGAGGGTGGACTGGAGGTTCTGCGCGGCCTGGGGGTGGGAGAGAGAGAGAGCGGCTTTGCCGCCTGGTCTGGGTCCGAATCCTGCCTTGGTTCTTGTGCTCCCGAAGGGAACGCGCACGTCCCGCGCCTGTGACAAGTGAGGTTGGATTTTCTCTTGCCTGAGGTGAAGGATGCCCGGAGGCCTGGGCAGGACGGCGCGGAAACGGGCCTTCTGCCCAGCAGATGTGCGCTTCTCTCCTTATTCTTTTCCCTCGGAATCGGAATCTCGCTGTGGCCTCGCAACCACCTGTGGTCGGCGTCGCCGCGTTGTCACTGCGATGCCTAGGCGAGCGGGGTGGCGGGAAGCACCCGCGGGGCGGGGAGGGAACCTGCAGGCTCGGAATCCACACCTAGCCTCTGCCCAGCGTCACCCAGCTTGCTGTGTCCTCGCAGGTCGCAGCTTCATGGCCTGACGCCTTCAGGAAGTATTTTGAAGTCATCGTGGCTGTGGATTGGGGAATTTCTTGTTTCCACTGACCTGTGAGGCCGCGCACGTGGAGGGAAGTACCCCAGAGCCTCCGGCACTGTGCAGCCTGGCCTGTGTCTCCAGTAGCACCAGTGGGCATTTCCGGAGGGTCTAGCTCGTGGCTCAAGTGACAGGAAGATGTAGGAGCTTTCAGTTTTGGATGAGGGTTCGAACTGAAGGGCTTAGGCCCAGCAGTCTTGGAGCAAAGCGGCTGTTGTGGGGTAAGAAAAGAAGGGTAGGGGGCGAGGGCTCAGGGGCCCTCCTAGGAGGACACCCGACCAGTTGGGCTGAGACCTCATTAGAGATCTAGAGCACGGGTGGGAGGAGCAGAGGCTCGATTTGTGTCCTGTCCAGACTCCCACAGGCTGGGTGATGGTGGGAGCTTTGTGCTCATTCAGATGTAGCGGCAGAGGAGGGCAAGGCCGAAGGAGTAGACAGCACTACGTCTTGGGGAGTTGTGAAGGCATCATGAGGAGGGAGGAGCTTAGCAGCCAAGTGGAGGAGAGCACCCTCCATGCCTGGATTCGTTACTTGCTCGTTCTAGATGCTGAACTGCTGGCGCACTGCAGCACAACTAGAGATGTACGGATTCCCCCATCTTGATCTTACGGAATCAGAGCTGCAGCCGCAAGAAAGTTTTCTGTTTCGGCTTTATTTAAAAGATGGGGTGGGGTGGGATAGACAGGAAACGAGCTTAACGTGTTAAGTGACTGATGACATTGACACATTTTGTTTGGCAGAGTCAAGAACAGACACTAAATCGCTTGAGGACCCAGGAGGGTGTTTGCTGCTTTGACAACAGAGTAAGTAAAAATCATTGTGCTTTTTAAAATCTAAAGATGGTTTTGAGAATCTGAAACCAAGTTAGAGCAAGTTCGTTTTTCTTTCCAAAAAAACTGGGCTGGGCCGGGCGCGGTGGCTCATGCCTGTAATCCCAGCACTTTGGGAGGGTAAGGCGGGCGGATCACGAGGTCAGGAGTTCGAGACCAGCCTGGCCAACATGGCAAAACCCCGTCTTTACTAAAAGTACAAAAAATTACCCAGGCGTGGTGGTGCGCACCTGTAGTCCCAGCTACTTGGGAGGTTGAGGCGGGAGGTTGCAGTGAGCCGAGATCATGCCATTGCACTCCAGCCTGGGCAACAGGGCAGGATTCTGTCTCAAAAAAGCAAACAACAACAACAAAAAACTGGCCTGAAAAATACCACATCACTTTTTCCAAAACCTTGTTGGGATACTCTGGTTTATAATAAAGATTAAAACTTGTGTATTTTTGTTTAGCATCAGTTTTAATGAAAGTATTATGTTCCATTCTTTGGCTTTTCCCAACTTGCTTAATTAGTTTATTGCTTTGCATACTCTGTTAGAGTACAACGTAAGTTGTTTATGAATCAGTAGAAAACAAAACGTTTTTACATTTGAAAACTAATGTGTCCAAGCAATACATAATCATGTCAGTCATGCACGGGTCTGTGAGTATCTCTCTTTCAGAGATGTTTTGCCAGCTGCGAAGGGGACCTTTTTAGGCAAGTGACATCTCTCATGATCTTTTCTTATTTCTCAGCTATACCCTCACAGTTTGCTCTGCTCTTCCAACACCAGTGGAAGATGATCACATCCCAGGTAGGTTGTTTATTTTTTCACAGTTTTGCTTAAAAGTAATTATTGAGGTTTTAAAAATGTCTCTATATTCATATGAAAGTAGAAATAACATCAGGGAAAATATAGAGGAGAGGTCACATTACAGTTCGTGGGTCAAATGCAGCCTGCTGCCTGTTTTTTTATGGTCCACAAATGAAGGATAGTTTTTATATTTTTAGGTGGCTAGAGGGAAAAAAACCAAGAGTATTATTTTGCTTGGAAATTGTATGAAATTCAGATTTTGTTATCTATAAAGTTTTATTGGGACTCAGCTATACTCATGTATTTATGTATTGTCTGTTGGTACTTTCACACTACGAGGGCAGAGTTGACTGGTTGCAGCAGAGACTAATGGCCCACAAGCCTAAAATATTTACTGTGAGACCCTTTACAGAAAATGTTTGCTGATTTCTGATAGAGAGTTGATGAAGAGTAAGACAAAAATGTCATGTTAAGGGAATGCAGATCTTGTGATCTCACAGAGTTGTGAAACTGGAACATAAAACACTTTAAAGGTCAATGGGCTTTATTAGGTGACATTGTGAAACTAAAAATATAAAAATTAGCTGAGCATTGTGGCGTGCACCTGTAATCCCAGCTAGTCAGGAGGCTGAGGCAGGAGAATCACTTGAATCCAGGAGGCGGAGGGTGCAGTGAGCCGAGATTGTACCACTACACTCCAGCCTGGGCGACAGAGTGAGACTCCGTCTCAAAAAAAAAAAAAAAAAAATTCACATGAATTATGTAGCATTAGGACTTATGGTTGTTTAAAGAAACAGTCCTGGTAGGCTAGGGTGATCATGGGTTGTTAGGATGTGGCAGGCTTTGTGATAGCCCTAGAGACCGGGCAGAACTGGAATATTTGCAATAACTTTCAAGGGATTCTACCTAAAAAAAAATAATTATGGTAAAATACACATCACATGGAAATTGACAATTAAGCCATTTTAAAGTATAGAATTCAATGACTTTAGTACATTCACAGTGTTGTACAGCCATAACCACCATTTATTTCTGGAATATTTTCATCACACCAAAAGGAAACACAGTACCCTTAATAAGCAGTGTTGTAACTTAATAAGCAGTTGCTCCCTTTTTCCCGTCTGCTCCCAGCCCCTAGCAACAGGTTGCAGTAGAGACTGTAATGGCCCACACACCTTTTTGTTTAAATGCTATTGTAATTGGAATTGTTAATTTCCTTTTTGACTGTGCATTGTAATGAGTACAGAACTAATTTTTGAGTAATCTTGTATCCTGTAATTTTGCTGAATTTGTTTCCTATTTGTAGGAGTTTCTTTGTGGATTCTTTAGTATTTTCTGCATATACGATCATGTCATCTGCAAACAAGAATATTTTCTTTCTTTCCAATTTGGGTGTATTTATTTGTTTAATCTAATTGTTGTGGCTGGAATTTTTAGTACAATGTTGAATATATGTGGCCAAAGCAGGAATCTTTATTTATCGTTAGTTTTTTGTTTTAGCAGTCTTAACCATTTTGGGATGTACAATTCAGAAGCAATGTTATGTATATTCATATTGTACATCTAATATCCAGAATTTTTTCATCTTGGGAAATTGAAATTCTGTACCCATTAAGCAATAACTCCCCATTTTCCCCTCCTCCTTGCCCCTGGCAGCCACCATCCTGCTTTCTGTTCTGTGAGTTTCACTACTTTAGTATGTCTCATTTAAGTGAAATCATACAGTACTTGTCTTATTGTGACTGGCTTATTTCACTTAGCATAATGTCCCCAAGCTTCCTCAGTGTTGTAGCATGTGTCAGAATTTATCTCCTTTTTAATGTTGAATGATATTTCATTGTACCCATGTTTTGTTTATTCATTCATCTGTCAGTGGACATTTGGATTCCTTCCTCCTTTTAACTGTTGTAAATAATGTTACTGTGAACACAGGTGTACAGCTATCTCTTTGAGATCCTTTTTTCAGTTCTTTTAGTTATATACTCAGAAGTGGTATGGCTGGAATCTATGGTAATTCTATTTTTAGTTTCTTGAGGAAACACCAACTTGTTTTCTACAGAAGATGCACCATTTTACATTCCCATCCTCAGTGTACAGTGCACCATTTTACAGTCCCATCCTCAGTGTACAGGATTCTGATTTCTGCATATCCTTGCCAACACTTGTTATTTTCTTTTGTTGTTTTGATAGCAGCCGTTGTAATGGGTGTATGGTAATTGTTCGTTGTGATTTTGATTTATATTTCCTTCATGATTAGTGATGCTGAGCATATTTTCGTAAGCTTGTTGACCATTTGTATATCTTTTATGGAGAAATGTCTGTTCAAGTCCTTTGTCCATCCTTGAATCTGGTTTTTTGTTTGTTTTGAGTTGTAGTGGTTCTTTATTTTTTTTTAATATTAATTCCTCATCAGATACGCGAATTGCAAATATTTCTTCCTGTTGTGTTGGTTGCCTTTTCATTCAGTTAACCATGTCCTTTAATGCACAATTTTTAAGTTTGATGTAGTCCAATTTATTTTTACTACTGTTGCCTGTGGTTTTTGATATTATATCCAAGAAAACATTACATTGCCACATGTAATGTCAAGAATCCATTCTCCTATGTGCTCTGCCATGAGTTTTGTAACTTTAATTTTGGTTCTTAGATTTAGGTCTTTGATTCATTTTGAGTTTTATTTTTTATTTATTTATTTATTTATTTAGTTTTGTTTTGCATGTGGCTATCCAGTTTTTCCAACACTATTTGTTAGAAAAAATGTCCTTTCCCTATTGACTGTTCTTGACAACTTTGTTGAAAATCATTTTAGCATACATGCATGGGTTTTCAAGATTATTTTGACTATTTGAGATCCCTTGAAATTTCATGTAAACTTCAGGATGATTTATTTCTATTTCTGTTACTATGTCTCCTTTGTAGACTGACCTTTTTTTTTTTTTTTTAAATCAATATGTAATGTTTTTCTCTTGTAACAATTTTTGACTTAAAGTCTCTTTTGTCTCAATATAGCCACCCTGGCATTCTTTAGGTTACTATCCTCTTCTGTCATTTCAATTTCAACCTACTGTGTTGTGTGTTTGTATCTAGAGAGTGTCTTATAGACTATATATAGGTAGATCATATATTTATATTAATTTTGCCAATTTCTGTTTTTTTTTTTTTCTTTTTCCTTTTTTTTGAGACAGAATCTCACTGTGTCACCCAGGCTGGGGTGCAGTGGTGTGATCTTGACTCTCTGCAACCTCAGCCTCCAGGGTTCAAACAATTCTTCTGCCTCACCCTCCTGAGTAGCTGGGATTACAGGTGCACACCATGACGCCCGGCTAATTTTTGTATTTTTAGTAGAGACAGGGTCTCACCATATTGGCCAGGCTGGTCTCAAGCTCCTGACCTCATGATCTGCCTGCCTCGGCCTTCCAAAGTGCTGGGATTACAAGTGTGAGCCACCATGCCCAGCCTATGTTGCCAATTTCTGTCTT